CCTGACATGCAGGCGTTTTCCAAGAGGATAGACCCTTATAAGGATAGAGAAACACTTTGTGTCTTATGTGCAGGCGGTGGATTTCGACCGAATCCAAGGCCTTCTGGATGAGGTAACTTAGCACCTACTTCACACTTTATACTTTTTACTTTAAAATTTTCAAGTGTGCAGCTAACCGTCTGACCCTACCTTTTCAGGTGATGTTGAGGATAGACGGGCTGAGGGTCCTCTTCAGACGGAAGCAAGAAGTGGTAAATGATGCCAAAAAGAGGGCCACCCAAGCTCTCAACTATACTGAATACAGTAAAATAAAGTGTGATGTTGAAATTAAAGCAGTATAGTTGAAATAGGAGGAGCTGATAAAGAATTTAACGGCTGCTAACGACGCCACTAACGACCGGGTCGACAAGCTTGAGCTGGATCTGAAGAATGCCCAATATAACCTCAAGGCCTTAGAGGGAGCTAATAAGGAGAACACCCAACTAAGGGGAGAAGTCAGCCGCCTGGGTGTCGAGCTGGTTCAGCAAAGGAACTAGCACCAAGATGAGATTGCTAAGGATAAAAACCGGCTGTAGAGGTGATCATTTGCGGGCTTGGGTGGGTAGTGGGCCAGGTTTATGCTTATTTTTTTGTCCAACGGGCTTCATGTATCAAACCCGAACCCTTTTATGCGGGCTTGATATTTTTTCCATGCCCGCTTACTAAACAGGCTGGGCTTGCCCGCGGGCTAACGGGCCTTAAATTTTTGCTTTATTTTTTATAACAATAATTAATCTATTTATTATTTACATGTGCTAAAATTATTTTGGTAGAGTTGTCTTATAATTTTTTATTTACAAATAATGATAATAGAAATTAAAAACACACAAAATATGTCATAATATAAAATAGTCTCTCTGTATTGATTATTTTATTTTCTTAAATACACAAAGTATTATTTTTATTATTAAATATAACACTAACTAAATAAAAATTATAAAAATAGTATTATTATTATAAACGGGTCAGGCGGGCTAGCCCACGACACATATTTTCTTGTCAATACCCGCCCATTTACATTAACGGGCCGGGCCTAGCCCGCCCAAATATCCAAATTTTTTTCAAAAAGGTTGTCCAAGCCCACCTTTTTTGCGGGCCGGGTTGGGCGGGCTTAGCGGGTCGTCCCGCCCATGAATTGCTCTAACCGGCAGGTAGCTGGAAATGAGCGAGAAATTGAAGCTCGCCTGCGGATCGCATGGGGTCTGCTCCACCCAAACATTGAGTTTGAGGTGTTCAAGGTGAAATATGATTACGCCACTGTGGCGTATGATGCTCAGGCGCTAAATGAGCAAGCTTCGCCTCCTTTCAAGGCATGGTCCCTAGAGCAAGGCTTCGAGGTTTCAGATGATGAGGAAGAGCCGACTGCTAATTAGGCGGATCAGGTCTAGGCTAATGAAGTCCAGACTGATTAAGACCAAGATGGCCAGGTCCTAGATGGGCAAAATGAAACAACCTCCCAGCACGCCAGGACCAGTCGGAGTAGACCCAGAAGCCTTAGCTCAGCCTCTTTTCTTCTTCTGCGGCAATATGCCATTTTAGTCTTTTCGGCCTAAAAGTCGATTATCTTTGTCTTTTTTACCGACTAAGGAGTTGGGTAACAATTTTTATTTTTCTTTTCTTCCGGATGTATATCCAGTTAACAATATTATCCGGCCTTTACTGGTTTTGAACGAAATTTGCTGACTAAGTCGGCTTGATGTATTTGTTAATTTTGTTTTAATTTTGCACTTTAATTCTGCAATTTTTGCCGAACTTTTTATAGCATGCGGCAATTAGTATATCGTCTACTCTTGCCCCTAGCGGCTGTGTGGTTGGTTTTAGTACTTCTTTGATTGATTGACTTGGGAATTTTTGATACTTTGAGGAGTATGAAATGTTCCTAAGTCAATCAATCACAGTAGTGATTGCCTCAAACCAAGTACACAACCGTCCACAAAACCAATAAGTAGTCGTTTCACCCAGCCGGGGGATAAGCTGGACCATAGCGTTATTCCTACTTCTGGGGTATTCACAATCCAATAAAAACTGTTTTTTAGCGAACCAAGTGGGAACTTGGCGCCTGGCAGTTGATGAAGCAGGGGACAAATTGTACGCCTATCTGATGGTCCCCAGACAACTTAAAGGGCGTATGGGGTACCTGCAATCCACTGCACCTGGTTCGTCTGCCCCATTGGGGAGACTTATATAATTTCGTCGAATAGTCTAACGCAGAACTTCAGTTATCAACCGGCTGATGTCATTTGACATCCGATTTTAAGCTTAACCATTCTTTCAAACTATTTTGGTCAGACAACTATGAGTTGACTAATTAGGTCGCTCAATCTTTGCCGCCTGCATATGCTTGTAGAGCAAACGATTAAATGGCCTCTGCGACGATAACACCCGGAGGGGCGTCGCCGGATGCCATACTCATGTTGGAGCAGACGAATTTATAAAAAAAAATTTGCATCCAGCAACTGGCCTCTTAAATTAAATACCAATTTAGCCATTAAGTTTTTAACTTAGCTTAATTCGTTCAATGGACCGTCTGTGCATTGCACAGATTGTCGTCAACCATTACGCATGTATATATACAAAGTAATTAAAGTAATTTGAAAACAAAAGAAAATTTTTTCATTGATAGGCTTTTTGTTTACAAAAATTTACAAATCTTTGAAGTAGTACTTTTTCAAGTTGTCTACATTCCAAGTTCTAGGCAGCCACCTACCGTTTGGAGTTTCCAGTCGGTAAGTGCCCGTTTCTCACTTCTTCATAGATCCGGTAGGGGCCTTCCCAATTAGGAGATCACTTTCGTTGCTCATTGGCCCTACCGGTTGCCTCTATCTTACGTAACATAACATCCCCAACATTCAAGGGTCGTTTGTGTACTCTCTTATTATAACCACGAGTCATTCTCAGACCATAAATCTCATGACGTAAGGCAACATTGCCCCTGCGCTCCGGGAGTGAGTACAATGCTAGCCGCATGGCCTCCTAGTTTACCTCTTCATCGTATAGCATGACTCGTAGAGTCAGCTCATAATGTTTAATGGGGAAGACGGCTTCAGCACCGTAAACCATGATAAATGGGGTTTCATCGGTTGCCCCTTTTATAGTTGTCCGGATGGCCCATAGGACATGAATTAACTCTTCAGCCCATAAACCACCGGCCCTTTCAAATTTCAAATTTTCTTGGGGTCGGCGGACTAATGCAAAACAATGTGAGATACCCTGATCTCCCAACCAAGTCTTAAGCTGAGGCGTCTCAAACTGAGGACCATTATCAAACATCGTATACATAGGTACCCTAAACCGGGTGATAATATTCTTCCAAATGAAGGAGATGACATCCTTTTTCTTGATGCCCTTGACCGCCTTTGCTTCCACCCACTTGGTGAAATAATCCACATCCACCAGAATACGCCTAGAGCAGGCATATAAGGACCTAAAATGTCCATGCCCTATTTAGCAAACGGGACAAGGCTGTGGATTGCCATCAGGTCAGTAGCCAGGCAATGGATTAGTTTGCTAAATCTTTGACACGTATCACATTTTTTACAAAATCCATGGCATTTGACTCAAGAGTGGGCCAAAAATAATTTCGCCTGGCTCCGACAGCAAAAGATCTGCCGCCTGCATGGGAGGCGTAGTATCCCGCATGCAATTCTTCGAGAAATTCTTTCCCCTTTTCTAGGTTAACGAATTTCAGTAGAGGCTTCAAAAATCCCGCTTTGAAGTGCTCTCCTTCCCTTATCTCGAATTTTACAGCACGCTTCTTCAGTACGGCCGCCTCCTAAGGTGAATCAGGGAGCGTGCCATCTGTCGGATATTCCCGGATGCCATCCATCTAGGTATAAATTTGGTTCAGTACTCCAATGGGCTAGTCATCTGATATGCTTTGTTTTCTATAACTTCCTAGAAGACTGACCGAGGCGTATCACAAGAGGCGGAAGATGCCAATTTTGACAAAACATCCGCCTGATTGTTTTCAAACCTGGGCACTTGACTTAGATGAAATTTTTCAAGTGTCCGAGCTTCAACTTTCATCTCCTATAAATATTTGATCATAGGCGGATGGGTGACTTCATACTCATCGTAGTATTGGCTAACGACCAACTGTGAGTCTAAGCAAGCGTCAATCTTGGTTACCCCTGCTGCCTTACACACACGGATGCCGGCTAGCTAGACTTCATATTCTGCCTCATTGTTCGAGGCTTAGAACTTGAACCGTAGTGCATATTCATATTTGTCTCCTTCCGGAGATTAACAGATTATACCTGCACCACAGCCGTTCATATTAGAGCTCCCGTCTACATGCACCTTCCAAACCTGATCAAGGTTGTCCAGAGTAACCGACCTTGTCATTTCAACAATGAAGTCGGCAAACTCCTTACCCTTCACTACCTTTCTTGGTTCGTACGTGATTTCAAGAGAATGCATTTCAATAGCCCATTTGAGCATTCTATCGGATGACTCCAGGGTTATCATTGGCCACTTGAGGGGTTGATCTGTATAAATTACCACCAGATGTCCCAAGAAGTATGGTTTTAACTTTTTGACAACCATGTAAAGAGCAAGCCAAAATTTTCAACCATGGGGTATCGGAAGTCAACATTTCTGAGAACATGGCTAATGAACACTAGTAGAACAATACAAAAAGGCACCGTTGTACGGCCACCGGTTTTTAAAAAATAGGCGGGATAGGCTAATTCACATTGCCACCGGTTCAAACCGAACCGGTGGCATAAATGGTAAAGGCCACCGGTTTGAACCCGTGGCAATAATCAATTAAAAAAAAAAGCCCCCTTTATAAACCCCAAACCCTACCTCATTTCCCTCTCAGCCGCTCTTTCTCTCTCCTGCTCTCCCCTCTCTTCTTTCTCTTTCGATTCGTCTTCTCTGTTCTCACCTCCTTTTCTCGATCTCCTTCTTCGATCTCCTCCTTCTCCTTCTCATCTCCTTCTCTTGCTCTTCTCCTTCGTCTCCTTCTCCCTCTTCTCCTTCGATCTCCTCGTCTCCTTCTCCTTCTCCTTCGATCTCTTAGTCTCCTTCTCTTTCATTTCCACCATCACCAAGACCACCACCGCAACAATAAACCAAGAAGACATGCACCACGAAGACATACACGAGGTTTGTGTTTAATTAATCGATTTTTCTTGGTTAATTAATCGGATTTTGTTGGGTTCAATTGATTGATTTTCTGGTTTAATTAATCGTTTTTGGAATTGTTTGAGTTTGTTAATCGATTTTAATTTGGTTTTTAATCGATTTTAATCAATTAATTCTGGGTTTTTGTTTTTTGAGTTCGTGAATCAATTTCTTGGTTTTTTTTCCTCGGTTTTTTAACTTATTTCTTGGATTTTGTTTTTATTTTTGTTTAACTTTTTTTTTCTAGGTTTTCTTCCGGGTTTTTGTTTCATTACTAGTTATTGATTTTCCTGGGTTAATTAGTCAATTTTGGATTTTTTTAGTGTTTTCCTCGATTTTAATTCGATTTTTAATTGATTTTAATCGATTCTAAGTCGATCTCCTTCTGGGTTCTATTCGATTTAATTTTGGGTTTTTTTTAAGTTTGTGAAAATCAATTTGTTTTTTTGAGTTCGATTTAATTCTCATTTTGTTTTTCATTCTCGTTTTTAAAATCAATTCGATTTTTTTTAGTTCGATTTAATTCTCGGGTTTTCACTAATTTCTGGGAATTTTGTTTAATTTTTTTTTTTGGTTTTAGTTTTCTAGGTTTTTGTTTAATTTTTGGGTTTTGTTTATATTTATGTGTGTTTTTTCTGGGTTTATTTAACTGATTTAAATCGATTTATGGGTACCATGCATACTGTTCTGGTTTTTTTTTTTCGCAGCTTATTTATTTTATTTAATCGATTTTTTTTTGTTTGATGCAGGTATATTGATTTAGATGTAGATGTTAAATCGAAGAATAAAGATGCAGGATTATTGATTTAGATGTTATATGGGTTGTTTTTTAATTTTAATGTTGTAATTTTTTTTTGGTTTTTTTTTATTGTAAATTTTTCTTTTTGATTTTAATGTTGGAATTTTAGTTTTGTGTAATTTGATTAATTTAGTTCTTTCAAATTGGAATTGTTGTATGACTAATTTAGTTGTAGTTATTAAATTAGTTTTTTCACTCTTAAAGTGTACAATTACTAGATAATGATGAATATATATGTGTTTTTATGTATTTTACATATATGTATAGTTTCTACTACAATTTAAGTGAAATAAATGCAAATTTTTTTTTTTTTTGTTTTTTATGGGCATTATTGCCACCGGTTAACTGGTGACAATACTTGTTAATACCATTAAAAAAAATTGCGGGAAGCATTATTGCCACCGGTTAACTGGTGGCAATATTTGTTTTTGCCACCGGTTTTGAACCGGTGGCTTTTTAATAAGATTATTGCCACCCCCCAAATGGCCACCAGTTCAAAACCGGTGGCATAGGGAGGTTTTGAACTGGTGGCCAATTCATATTTTCGTCTAGTGGAAATAGACCGGGAGCTGAATACCGTCTCTCTCATCAAGGAGAACGACATTGAGGGCATGATCTGAGACTGTTGAGATCTATGTAATCAACACACATGCGCTAGGTTCCATTCGGCTTCTTTACAAGCACAACATTTGCCACCCAATCAGGGAAGTTACATGGCCAAATGAACCCAGGGTATAGCAGCTTTTTAACTTCGACAGCTGCCGCCTGACTTCTTTCCTCGCCGTGATTTCTTTTCTTTTGCCGAATGGGCTTCTTTTTTGGATCAACAGCGAGTTTGTGGACAGCGAGATCCGGGCTAGTGCCTGACATCTCTTCCACTTCAAAGGCAAATATGTCTTTAAATTTTTTCAGCAGAAGGTGCAAGTCTGCACCCAAACTTTCAAAAGCAGCCGCCCCACCTTAAAAGTTCGCTCTGGATGGCTGTTGTCCAGTGGAATATCAATGTGCTCACCAGCCGACTGGGGATGAAGATCATCTGACCATTCCCCGATCAGTGATTGCTATTTCTTCTCCTTCTTCACCTCCACCAGCTAATCAATTTTTCCTCTTCTTTGCGACCGGAGGGGGGAAATCAGGGTCCTTACCATCGTCAAGGTCAATTGGCTCCTTCGGCGAACCGGCTGTAGCAGTCGTTGGTTTGACGTATGATAGATAACATTTTCTTGTTGTCTTCTAATCCCCGTTGAGAGAGCCAACAGAGCCATCATCCTTTCATACTTAAGAAGCATAAGAGTTGGGATGATAACGGTCATGCACTCGTTCAGAGTGGGTCGACAAAGAATAATGTTGTAGGCGGTCAGCTCTTTAACCACCAGGAGTCAAACAACCATATGTCGCCGTTTCCCCTTTTGCCCCAACCGGATGGATAGATTGATTTGTACGACTGGGTGCATGACCCCTCTACCAAAGCCAACTAATGGATGGGAGATGTCGCTCAAATTGTCCAGCTTGTAGTTAAGCTTGGACATACACTTGTAGCTGATGAGATCAGAGGAGCTTCCCTTGTGTATAAGGATCCGACCAACCATTTGGTTGACGACCTTACATTTAATGACGACAGGTTTGTCATGCGATCAGCAGACTTTGCCCTGATCCTTCTCAATGTTGAGGACGTCTGTGAATGTCCCTCTTGAAGACACCTATCATTCATCAATTGAATGGATCATCTTCTTCAGATGATCCTTGGTGCTCCGAATGATTGGGCCACCGCATGCGAATCCGCCTGCTATAGTTTAGACCGGATCCTTGTCCGTATCCGAGCTACTAGTAGGCTGGATAGTCTTTGACGGTTGTCCCAAATTCGTCTTAGAAGCCACTTTGGACTTCTTTTCTCTTTTTTTGCTCTTCAGATTTCTAAGTCGGCTGAGTAGACCGACTCTCCTTTTGCTTGTCGGACTTCTTGGAGTCCGACTGATGGCTGGACGAGCAGAGGTCGGTGGCTTGAATAAAGCTCTCTGCCTCTATCAACACCTCTTTAAGGGTGAAAACCCTTTTTCAGACAAGGTCAAACTTAAAAGTCGACCCGTCCTTCATACCCTTGAAGAAGTCTGTATAGTATAGGCTACCTTGTCAGACAATCCCTGGATTTGGATTCTCACCAGGTTGAACCGCCTGACATAGGAGCAAAGTCCTTCTCTCTCCCTGCCGGATGGTGTTTAAGTCAAGACTTGTTTTCTTGGCAGGGATGTTCACTGAGAAGTTAGAGATAAATAGGAAGGCGAGTTTCCTGAAGCTATCAATGCATCTGGCTGGCAGGTTGCCAAACCATTGTTGGGCGATGCCCTTCAATGTAGCCAGGAAGCACCAACACCAAATTGCATCCTCCAACCCCTATATGTGCATGATGTTGGAGTAGGCCATGAGGTAGTCCTCCGAGTTAGTGGTACCGTCATAGGCACCTACCAACACATTCTTAACCTTGGTCGGCTGTGCCGCCTCGGTTATCTCCTTGGTGAATGCCAAAGTTTGTTCACCAAGTTTGAGAAGACGGAGCTGCCAGTCCAAAGGTTGGACATTGTATACCGCCTGACCCCCAAAGAGGGTCGACTGCATGAAATAAGGAGAATACAGGAAGTAGACCACAAGGGGTATGTACGGTGAATTCCCAATCATATTAGGGCTAGAATGGACAGTATTATAGCCTATATGGCTCTCATGCAAGGATTGAGTATTCCTTGCAGATGTATTTCTAAAGTTGTCTTGAAAACTCGAGGCGGAGGCTGACTCAGACAGATGCTGGCTCTGATTTTTCTCGATGACATGCCGAGCGTCAGTGTAAGTCTTCTTACTGCCATCCGAATCAACAACACTAATGACCTTCCTTGTGCTCATCTAGGGCAGAAGGATCTTCGACTAGTTAAAGGTAGGCACAATCTTCTCCTTAGGGGGTGGAGTAGGCTGGCTGTCCTTGACTAACTTATTCCTCGCAGACCGAGGAGACTTTTTTGGCTGGCTCACTCTTGCTAGTGCCAGTCGTTTTCTTTTCGATCAGATTCTTGATCTCACCCTTGAAACTGGTAATGAATTTCATGAGCCCGTATCTAGTGACTGGAGCCTGACCTCTTGCCGAGTGGGTTTCCCCTTCCAGCTGACCAAGGGGCCTGCTTGTACTCACCTGGCTATTACCTCATTCTAGAGTATCTCTGGGACGGATACGCCTAGAAATGAATGACCCATTTCTAGCCATGTATGTTTCGACCTGAGGATCATCATCCTCCTAGTCTGTAAAGACCTTCGGCAGATGAGCCTTAAGGTCAGGAGGCGGTATAGACTCTTGAACCATCCTTGAGGTACTCTCCCCACAGACGGTGCCAAATGTTTAGGGTGTTTTTTCCCTAGGGATAGTTACAGATCAAAGCCCAGTTGCACGCGGCCTGTACCTGCAAAACAACGGAGACTCCGAGTGGTTGGAGCTCTGCCTCCGACGATCAAGTTAGTACTTGTATGTAAGTAGGAAAAGGTGCGGAAACTGAAGTGAGATCTTCTCGAATTCTGAGATCAGGTGATAACTGATGTAAGAGAATGTACGGTATGTAATACCTCATATTTTTATACGTAATTTAAGTAAAATAAGTATTTTAAGAAGTATTTAATTAAATTGAATTACTTTATTTAAAGTATTTTAATTATTTATTTTTAAATAAGTTTGGAAATATTTTAAAAAGGAAAGGTTATTGAATTAATTAATTTAATTAAGTTGGGGTTTAATTTAAGAAAAGTTTTAATTTAGTAAAGTTTTATTAGGGATGGGATTAGGAAAATTATAAGAGGAAAGTTAGGGAAAAAGGGTTTGTAGAAAAGGGGTATAAATATCCCACATATGAGGCAAATCAAACTTTGCCTAGAGTGGAGAAAACCCAAGGTAAACTTCTCTCTCCTTTCTCCTTATTTTTCTTTCTTTTTCTTTTCTCCTTTTCCCCCTTCCCCTTTCTTTTTTTTTCAACTGCTCTTCCCCCCCCCCCCACCACTGCCGACCACCGGCAGCAAGTGGCCGCCGCCGCCAGTAGGAAGCCACCGGCGCTGGCAGCCGACGTGGTGGTTGCCGCTGCACCCTCTCCCCCTTTTTGTATTATAAAAATAATTGAATCTTTATTACTTAAAACTAATTTATTCCTAAATATAATTGTTAATTATGAATTTGGGATTTGATTTTGATGTTTTATTATGAGTATTATGTTAATTAATTTTCAGATTATGTTTTTAATTAAAAAGCCCCAATTTTGTAAATTCTAGGTTCTTGATTTGTAAATTATTGAAGGGTTATGATGTATAATGTTTTGGACCTTTGATTAAAGTCTTTTACGGCTTAATTATAGCAAGTTTTAATTAAAATTTAGTGCTGAAAGTTTTAGTAGAGCACTTAAAATCAAGTTTCTTTTAGGAATTTTAATTACCCATTAATAGGGACTAAATTATGATGTTTTAAATATAATTTCAGCATGTTTCAATTAAATTATGAGGGGTTTAATAATAGTATATTGCTGGAAATTTGTGTAAAGTGGATTTTAATACTCTTCTATAATTTTAAATTATAGGAGACTTCGAAGTGAGTGATTTTTAGTAGTTGTGGCGATTCTAAGATCGTGTACAAGGTACGTTCGCGAACTTAGCATAATTATGCTGATAAAATAGCATGCTAAATGTGTTTGGTTTATTACAAGTAGTATCATGCTAGGTTTGGATTGGAAATCATGCTTTGGATATTATTGGTGATTGGATTATGAAGCATGATTTATTTGTGATGGATTATTGAATGGAAAATAATAGTTTGAAAGATTATTTATGAACCACATATTTATTTATGGTGTTTTGGGTGCTTTTGTCCCTCGAGAGAGTTATGTCACAAAGATTGGTCCGGCTGAGCTATACCTGCAAAAACAACGGAGACTCCGGATGGTGGAGCTCCGCCTCCAACGATCAAGTTAATAGCTTGAAAGAGAGTAAAGAGTACGAAAATTTAGGTGGGGATCTGCTTAGATTCAAAGCTCAGGTTTTTCTCTAATGAGAGAGAAAGTAGGTGTAATAAATGATTCAATGTGTCCCCAAAATGGGGAAATATCTCCCTATTTATAGGGTCATTGGTAGATGTGCCCATATCTAGGTCACTTGACCTAGATTTTTAGTGGGCTGCGCCGAATTACGGCGCTTCTTGGGATTTAGGCCCTTGAAGGCCGCCATTTCAGGAGCTTATCTGAAGGGGACACGTGTCAAGAGGGCATTAGGCCACTTGGGCCATCTTGAACTTGACACGTGG